AAGCTTCCAGGCTCTGTGGGCATACCACTCTTCCTGAATTTTCACATGTATACTAATCTAGGAGTTCTCTAAACTCTGTCCTTTAGCATTTTTTATGGAAGCTTCATTACATTGGCATGATTGATTAAATCATCAGCTATTGAGAACTGATTCAACTCCCAACCCCTCTCCCCTCCCCAGAAGTCAGTGGAGTGGGACTGAAAATTCCAATCCCCTAATCACATAGTTGGTTCTCCTGGCAACCAACCTTAGGCGAGGTCCTAAAGTCACCTCATTAACATAATAAAAACACCTTTTATAGCTCACTCCCCTGATGTGAAATTCCAGGGTTTTTAGGAGCTCCGCGCCAGAAATGGCATGAAGGTCAAATATATATATATATATATATTTCTTATAAATCACAGTACCACAGAGGTACAACCATATTGAAGGCATAAGGGAAATTAAGGGGTGATTCATATTTAGGGGTATGTTTGTGTATTTATATTAGGGGGATAAAGGCAGTGGGGAGATATCAGACAGGAAATACTTGCTTGTGACACTACCATGTTATCTCTTCAAATTTTAATTTCTAGTTCTAAGAAGTCATGTGGGAAGCAAGGACAGAAAGCAGCATCCATTAACTCTGCAGTATTTATGGAGCCCCTATCTTGTGCCAGGTCTTGTGCTAAGCCATGGGGTACAAAGGTCAACAAACACTGTTTCTGGACAGAAGGAGTCCCCTGTCCCATAAGACCATGGACAAACAAAACCAAAGACTACAATTCAGAGAATTAGTCCCACACAAATTGTGGCACAAGGTACTATGTAACTACAGAGAAAGAAGCACCTGATTTTTCTTGGGATGTTCAAGAATAGCTTCATTAAAAGTTGAAAAAGGAGTAAGTTTGACAATTGTAGAGGGGGAAAAAAGGATGTTCCTCACATAAAAAGTAATATATGTAAAAGTAGAAAAACAAAATTTTCACCTTGACTAACTGGATTCATAGTTTGCCTCCACATCTAAGTTCTTCACTTCTTATTTGCTCTTTATTCCTCCACAGCTGAGTTTCTGGTCCATTATGTCACTGAATTGTTGCAATGATCACCAAACTATCTAACCCAAAGGTAACTGGTCTGATCTTATTTAACCTGATTGACATTTTTAACCACTCACTGCTCCAGGAATTTTTTTCCTCTTTTGGCTTCTTGTAATCATGGCTTTCTGATTCTATTCCTACATCTTTGACCACTTGTTTGTGGTTTCCTTTATAAGTGCTCAATAATTGTTAACTAGACAAAAGTGATGTGTCAAGAGATTGATTTCAGAAAAGAGTGACTTGAGCCTGTTTAAATGTGGACAGGATAAAGTTAGTAGAGGAGAAGAGCTTAAAGATGTAGGGAGAAAGAGGATGTTTAATGAAATAAGGACCCGACAAACAGGAAAGAATGGATGGAACATAACAGGATAAAGGGAACTTAATGGAACATTCTTTATCTTGAGTTAGGCAATAATCTTAACTCCTGTGGATAATTAGAATGAGACTATCCTTTCAAAAGGCACTAGGCATATAGAGATTAGAGGAAAAAGAGTTTGAGATACACAGCCCAGTGTTCATGCTCAAAGTTTGGCTTCGGAGCCAAAAGAATATCTTTGCTAGCTTATAAACACCAGCAGGGTAAAGTAAGAACATCTCTGGAGATTCCAGATATCAAAGAATAGGAATGAACTAGGAAACAGAGATTAAGATAAACAGCAATGAATAATAAGTAGAAATTTGACAGAGGCTTTCAAAATGCTTCCATATTTGTCATATACAATCTATGATTTTAAAATTTATCTTTTTAAGTTTTCCTATTTCTTCTGACTGGATCTAGATTTATTAAAAAATGATGTGTGATTAAGAATTTTATTTTGTCTTTCTATTCAAAATCAAATGCCTGGTATAAACTTGTCAATGTTCTCCAGAAGTTTTAAGTGAGTTTTAGCTTCATGATATCACAGCATTTGAGAGCAGCTATGTGAATTGCATTCAAGAGTTGTAAATAGGTCTCTCAATTTCAGAAACAGGGCTGGATATCCTGTGCCTCTGGTTATCATTCCCTGAGAATTTAGCTTCACTTATTTAATCCCAAATGGACATAACTAGACTCTAATCATGAGGAAACATGAGTCAAACGCATAATGAAAAATATTCTATTTTTTAAAAAAAGTAGAAGGAAGGAAGGAAGACTATATCAAGGAAGACTAAGAAAGACTAAGGAAGTCCCCAGACTAAAAAGGACTAAAGTGATATGACAACTAAATACAATACTAAAGGGAAAAGAATTCTCTAAAGGACACTATTCAATCAGTTGACAAAATTGGAACATGAATAGTAATGGGATAGAAGTATAATGCCAATGTTAAATGTACAAAATTAAAAAACTGCACTGCAAATAACTAGGGGGAAAGGGCTTGCTGTATGCAAGCTGTTCTCAAATAATTCAATGAAAAAAAATATTTCTGCATACTCTACACACAGCAAATGTTGAAGGAAATGGGAAAAATGATGGATGAAACTGAGTAAAGGACATAGGGTGTACTTTGCATTATTTCTGTAACACTTCTTTTTTCTTACTTGGAGTATTTTTATTATTTTTTTAATTTTATTGATGTATAGTTGATTTACAATGTTGTGTTTAATTTCTGCTGTACAGCAAAGTGTCAGTTATACACACACGCATACACACACACACACACACACACACACACACACACACACACACATATATATATATTCTTTTAAATGTTCTTTTCCATTATGGTTTATCACAGGATATTGAATATAGTTCTCTGTGCTATACAGTAGGACCTTGTTGTTCATCCATCCTATATATAATAGTTTACATCTGCTAATCCCAAACTTTTTAAATATAAATTTGAAATTAATTTCTACATATAAAATAGAAAATATAGAAAGGAAGAAATCATCACTATAAGTAACTCTAAGGAAGCTCATATATTCAGAAACTTCTCAAGAAAGATATTTTGGGGAAAGTACGCTAAGTTGTTTGAACTAACAAGTGGAATGGCAACTTCAGTTGGTTCAGGCAATGTCTGTGATGTGGCTGAACTCACAACCTAACTTTTCCGTAGATAAGGGAGAAGCTCTGTGGAGCTACCTTCCTGTGACCATCCATTTATAAAAATATCAGCTATGTCTAGCTATTCGTTAGATAATACTTAATATTTATTCTAATTTTACTCATTTGCTCTGTATGGTAGGATCAGAAAAACAAATCTATGCACAGTTTAACTTATAAACCCAATCCTTCTTCTTTCAGCTTCATGATGCTATCCATTATCGTCATTCTAATAACTTCACTAACCAACATTCACGGTATTTAATTAAACTAAAATGTATCCAAGCACTTACAAAAAGAATATGCATAATAATAAGCACTGCAAAGAAGGAGAGTTAAATCCAAAATATTAATCTTAAATTGTATGAAGATGGAGATTATGTGCTTCATTCTTACAAAAATTATATTTTCATATCCGATTTAAATCCCTGGAAAGATGATTAAGAATCAACCTTACATTTGCATATCACCTTATACTTTTTAATGCACATTAATGCTTATTATCTTTTTTGAGTCTCACAATAGCCAGGGATTTTTATCATTCGACTTTTGGAAAGTAGGAAACTAGCTGTGGGTAACTGAGGCTAAGAGATTTGCACTAGGATTTGCTGAACTGATGAATAAGGAAGTTGAGATTGGAGCACATGTATTCTAACTGCTAGTCTTGGGTTTGCCTCACTTACACCCCATGGAGAGTCTTGCCACTAATTCAGTGTTCACATACCAGTTTTACGATTCTGTAGCCACTCTAGAGAGTGAAATGTTGGCAGTCAAAAGCACACTCATGGTTCGGAAATATTACAGGGACCATAATGCATATTATGTAAGGGTATATTGCTGTTCTACTGATTTTTTTCTCACATTAATAGTAATACTAAGAGTATGATGTGAGTAAGTCACATTAGACATACTGCATAAATGAGGAAACCAAAAGGCACTTAAGGATAAGTGATATTAAAGAAAGCATTAGCAGATAAAATAGATGTTCTAATTGTAATCTTTCTATGCCTATATAAAATATGCCTTTTTGATTCCTTTAAAAGAGATTTCCTCATCCTAGCCTTGTTCAAGTTATTTCTACCCAAAATATAAATCAAATACTGTTTATCTGAAATGTGGTGGGATCTTATTCATTAAAAGTACCACTCTTACTTCATGGTACATTTAAAGTTATGTAGTTCAAATATTTAGATTTTACACAAATTGATGACTCGGTTAGAGTTGAGGCTGTGAAAATAGACCTGTGTTGATGATGATTATCCCCAGCTTCCTAAAGTTGACAGTCTCTTTAGGAGGATGTGCCCTGTATCAGAAGCACCAGACACTGATAAACATGTTATATACCTTAATTTCACCTAGCTATGTGATCTTGTACAAGTTACTAAACTCTTGGGTTTTTAGATCCCTTATCAGTTAAAATTTAATTCTAACTGCCAAATCCTTGATTCTGAACTGCAGTTTGAAATTAGACCCAGCAAACTCATAATTTGTATAATTTTATTCTCCCCTGATTACCTCAGTAGTTCATGCTGGCCTATTAGCATGTGAATGTCGACTGAATAAAAGCTTTACACGTTTAAATGAAGATATTTCTCTTGTGATATTTCCATTTGAGCCTTTTGTCTATTGATTTGTGATTACCCAGTATACTTCAGGGAAAATAACCTTGCCTAGGAATCAAGAGACCTAAGTTCTACTCTGGGCTCTGACAGAAAATGTTCATTTAAGTTTTGTGAATTACATGCATTTAGGTATAAAGAATAAGTATAAAAACATGCATCCTGACTACCTCATGAAAAGGATATAAAAAATTAGTTGACTCTTACATTCTGAACAAATGAGGTTACAGGAAGATATTGAACAGCACGAGCAACACTGATACTTTTCTGCTTTACCTGATGGGGAGATGTGCCTCCAGGAAATGGAAGGCTCTGGTTTCCCAGTGGCCAAACAAGTCAGGGTGACATTGGTTCCTTCATTGATGGTCATATCACTTGAGATGTCATATATCTTCGGAGGAACTGAAATGGCAAAACATGCAATGGTCAGAAAAAAATGTCTAAACTATATATGAACTATATATGAACTATATATGATTAACTCCATGATATCATGCAGTCAAACTATGGTGGTGAAATGTACTTACGGCCCATGGTCATCACCTAAAAGATAGATTCTCTAGGTCCTCAGGATTACCCTAGAGTTTTTTTTGTTTTTTGATTGGTTCTAATTTTCTCTGATATTTGGCTATGAAATATTTTAGGACAAATTAAATATTTAATAACAAAAAGCTTAAATGATCAATAAATATTGTTGTGAATACTTTGTATTACATAAACTAGAATATAGCCATCTGTCTGTTCCATCCATGTATCTTCACTATAATGATGGTTTTCCTGTTGAAATGATTAAAGAAAAATGGAAATCTGGAAGAAACTTAAACTAGCAAAGCAGTTATGCCTACATGGTGATTTAAGAGCTAAGTGAGGTAAAACCTGTACAGAATTGGGATGTAAGATTTCAGGGTCGCAAAGGCAATTTAGGTCTCAGTTTTCTAATCTGCCAAATAGTAGGGCTGGAATTTCTGAGCGTTTATGTTCTAAGGAACACAAATTCTAAGGGCTGTGAAAGATGTGTTCAACATGAGTTTTCTTGTCAGTAATGGATGGAAATTTGTTGAAACAAGTCTTTTCATTTTGAGATTTCTTAGAACATTTGTTATGACCTTTGCTCTGTAAATCTACAAGAGTGAAAGGGGAAATATTGTGATGTGTTTTTTTTTTTTTTTTTTTTTTTTCCTGATGTATTAGACTATGGAAGCTTTTGTAACAGAGCATTTGATGAAAGTAGTGAGCCTGGAATAAACTTTGGGAATGTTGAATAGGAAAATACCTAAATTAACTTCCAGGATAAAAATGTCTGTATTCTCTCAAATACCAAATGATCTCATTTAATCCTTATGCAGCATGGATATAAGTCCTGTGTCCTCTACAGGCTAGCTGTGTTACCTCAGCCTCAGGTCTTCATCTGCAAGCTGGAGATAATAATAGTACAAACCCCATATAGCTACTGTGAAGATTAATAAGTCAGCATATGTTAAAGGGTTTAGAAAAGTTCCTGGCATCATTGTTAGCTATCAATATTATTATTATATGCCTTAAAACACATATTTGGTGTTTGACTTTAATTTCACAACTGCTCTTTTCCCATGCCTTAAAATTACTCTCAGAAGTTCACCACTTTGATAGTATACACGATGGGTCTGTGCCATAAGTTTTGGTTTCCTATATAAAAATTATAGTATGTTGAAGTTTCAGGTCAAAGCTAAATAAATGGCAACTAGATACATTGATAACTATTATAAAAACATGCTTTTCACAGGCTCCAGTCACGCAGGCTCAGCGGCCATGGCTCACGGGCCCAGCCGCTCTGTGGCATGTGGGATCTTCTCGGACCTGGGCACGAACCGGTGTCCCCTGCATCGGCAGGCGGACTCTCAACCACTGCGCCACCAGGGAAGCCCAAAAACATGCTTTTTAAGTGGAATTTTTCTCATTGTTCCAGTCGTAGGGTTTCTTTCGGCAAGAGATATGTTTTCACAGTTATTTTAAAAACCAGTAACTAAAATCTGTCATAAGGATAAATTAAATTACTCATACTTTGAGTATCATTTTATTTTTTAATGGAACCAAAACTCTGCTACATGAAAATCTGGGATGATTTGATTACAAATATAAAGTATTTGATTATAAATAACTGGTGATATGATTGAGGAAAGAGCTTATTCTTAAGTGATATACTGTTGTATCTGTTTCTAAATGGCATACTTTAATTGACATTTAAGACATATTATCATTAAACTCTTCATTGAGCTCTTCTCAGGCAAATAATAAAAAATTAAAACCATTGCAAATAGAAGACTCTTTTCAGCTTAACTGAAACAGAATAGAAATAAAAACTTTAAAATACCCTAGAAAGAAAGTAGAGAAAAATGTGCAAGACTTACTGGTGAATTGAAGATTTAAAAAAATAAACTTATAACATTAAAAAAATATATATCCTTTGGATATATGAATGTAGGTATTGGTTTGATATAGTAAACCATGAAATACATGTGTATATACAAACACATGTGTGTATATTTATAAGTGTGTGTATATATATATAAATATACAGATACATATATACCAATGTCTACTATTAAAAAAACAAAAAGTTATATGATACTTTCCTTCTTTATGTAGAAGATAGTACACAGATATCAGTCTAGTCTGGTTAGTTTTATTTTAAACATATAACTGATTCAACTTTGGGCTGAGGTGTATATATTTAAGAGAAATGATGGAGTGCCATAAGACCATGCATTCTAGCCTCTAAATTAAATTATTTTGTCAATTTTATCTGACTTTAAAATAGTTTAGTTTCATCTTTACACATCTACTTAAAGTGGTAAACTAATATTAAGCACAATATTTGATTTCACAGAGAAATAGCCAAGTCCCTTAGCAATAAACTTAAGATTTAACATTTAACTATGGGAAATTCTGTGGTGGGAGAAGACTGTTGAATTCCAGGTGTGACATGTCAGTTCAGTGATTGCAACTACCTCCCGGGGCCTCATAATTCAGGATCTGCTACAGGAAAGAAACATCTGGAAAGAAGATGTTAGCAAGGGAAATCCCTCTGGCAAGGCACTTCTCCCCAGAATGCATCACCTGTTGGCAACAGATGTGTGTAGAGAGGGCCAATGAAGTCCTTCACATGCAATGTATGTAGCTTGTGGAGGCAAAAACAGGTGTTGCTTTGCTGAATTGCATATCCAGTTCAAGACTTCAAAGTTTTACTGATTATTATGGAGGGAATAATTCTGGACTCACAGGAAATGCAAAAATTTCAAAGCATAATCCTTGACCTCGAGGAACTTAAAATTAAAAGAGAGAGGCAGATTGGTAAGTAACTAAGAGAAGACAAATATTTTCCATATTTTCCTTTCTCATTTTACATAAGTAACACATGTCAGGTATGCCTTCTGGGTTCAAATCATCAGAGATTAATTTTGTGTTTGTTTCTTTTAGAGCAAACCATGAAGGATAGTTTATCCACAAAGTTATTCATTGCAGTGCTATTTATAACAGAAAAGAGTTATCAGTAACCTCGATGTAAGAAAACAGAAATGGAGATATTGTTAGCTCTGCCTCCAGAATAAGGTGTGGTTTCGAGGAAGGGTTTGGGATGAATCTGGGGAACATTAGGCTAAGGTATAAAGGAAAAGAAAAGTGATACTTCTACTGTGGGTGGCAGGAGCTTGGAGAATGGTAATGTCTTGAGTGTCTTAAGACCCTCCCGTTCTGGATTACAGTTTGTGTATAAATGGTGCATGCGCACAGGTGGGAAGAATGCCACTGAACTTTCTAAATGACAAAGCATTTCTTATGGCATGTCCATATTCTATGCGCTTGCATAGAAAAAAGAAAAATGAGGAGAGTTAAAATAACTTACTATTCTAGACACCTGTTTCTTTTCTATATACCTTATATCAAACTCCTTCAACATTTTTATTTATAAATTTAACTTAAAAATCAATTGTATAAAAATAAGTATGTTCAGTCAATTCAATAATTTTTAAGTCACTAAGTAACTATATTTTAACGAGTATTTTAGGTTGCTGTGCATATTATTTAAGTATTTATGACCTAGAGCAGAGTAATAAAGGAATAAGATATTCATCTAAATATACACTTGTTTAATTTGCAGGAAATAATTATTATAACATTGTCATCATCATCATGAAACCATAAATAAAAACACTGAAAGGTAGAAGTTCTAGATTTCTCACTAAATCACAGAATATCTTTTTCCTAATAGGACCCTAATTGGGGATACACACAACTTTACATCTGTGTTAATAATGAACTGTTGCTTATCACCAGTTAGAGACATTGAAGAACACTGGAAACTTTCTAAGCAATAGGGTTGGGAGTGGATTTAAAGTTTGTGTTGGAGGGAAATTTTTTTTTAATTCCCTCATACATTTAAAGGAATCTTGTACCTTCAAATTCATAACCTTTTTTGCCTTTAATCAATTATTCACTGGACACAATTTCAACTACTGTTTACCACCCTGTTCTCAACTCCTATTGATGTCATGGTGGGGGGTGGGAAATGATGCATATTTAGATGCATTTATAGATTTAGATTCATTTAAGGTAGTTCAAATCTCTTGCTGGTTTCACTTTCATCAAAAAGTATGCAATCTGACTTGCCCCAACTGCCTTCTCCTTTTGGAACCATCTATCATGGTGTCTTCAGGTAGGATGGAGCATTCTTAGTAAGAAAAATCTTAGAATACATATCCAAACCAAATACTAATGATTTCCACACAACCAGCCATTTGGGATTATTCCCTACCATTTGCACTATGATGGGCAATTGAGTATGTGAGTGTCCTCGTGGTTACTTTCTTTTTTTACTTGTACATAATTTCTGAATTGTATAAATAAAATAAGATTTTGTTTGTTTAATGAGCAGCCTTCACAGATTTAACTTAAACTTCTTACAACAACTCATCCTGTAGTGTGGAACATAACCATTAAAAATGTGAGAAGTCAACATAAGGGTGAAAAATATGTACAACACAGGAATCACATGAGCGCATTCTTTTATTTTATATGAAAAGTCTGTTTAGGGACTGCGGCCAGGATGCTGGTGTGAGGAAGTCAGAGACAAGGAGCCTGGCGTCCTTGGACTCCAGCCCTGATTTGTAGTGGGGTGGCAGCTGGTGGAAAATATATTTTTTAAAAAGTCTGTGTAGATGATAATAAATAAAATAGAGTTCACACCTATATGAAGTTGCATGAGATGTGAGGTGGTGCCACACGTAACAATGAAAATCTTTAGAGGATGCATTTGATGGTTATCTTAACTGTAAATAAATGCAAGACATGGACTATTTGGCTCTGGGCAGTTTCATTGGTTTACTAGAATCAAATAAATGCCCCATCAAGTTCTTAAGCTGTAAGAG